GAGACTAATTCATTAAAAAAATTATTAGTCTATGTTTTCAGACACACAATATTTAAAGACCTATTTCTGTGACATCAATAACTGAAAAGAGGTGGAATGCAGCTGTACAGGAGCAGTTTTTCTGTTATCAAAGTTCAGTTGGTATAAACACAGCAAAAGTAGCAGGATATAAAATCAATACACAAAAATCAGTTGCATTCTAACATTAACAATGAACAATCTGAAAAGGAAATTAAGAAACAATTCCATTTACAATAGCATGAAAAAGAAAAAAATACTTAGGAAAAAACTTAACCAAAAGTGTGAAAGACTTGCAAAATAAAAACTTCAAAACACTGCTGAAAGAAATTAACAGAATATTTTGCTAGTATAAAGAAATATACTTTTTTCCCTGAAAATCATACCTATCATCCACTATTTCTTTATTATAATTTATTTTATTTTAGTACTTTTGAAGGGTAAAAACTTCCAATTCTACTTTCAAGTACTTTCAGGAACACCATCAGTACTAGGATAAAAACGATATTCCAGAAGAAATTAAATTACAAAATATTTGATCAAGGATGTTGCTGCCCTTGTATATTCACTGCGTTATCATCAGTTCCTAGCATATAAGGCATACAAGACTGAGGCTGATGCCACATGGATATATCTGTGGCAATGGGGGGCAACAGTTAAGATTCTACATTCCTACTTTGTTACATCTGAGTCATGGGCAGTACTTAATTATCAATTCATCAAAAGACAGGAAAAGAGAGGAAAGAAAAAGTGTAATAAACAAAACAAGAAAAAATAAGCCTACTTATACAGCTGACCCTTGAACAACACAGGTTTGAACTGTGTGGGCCCACTGATACATGGATTTTTTTCAATAAATATCTGTACTGTTTTTCAATCCATGGTTGAAAGTCCACAGATGTGAAGGGTTTACTGCATGCACTGACGTATGCCATTTTATATAAGGGACTTGAACATCCACAGATTTTGGTTACCTGTAGGGTTCCTGGAACCAATCCTTTGTAGATACCAAGAGACAATTAAAAGTTTTGGGGGAGTCAAAAGTTATATGTAGATTTTCAACTGTGTCAAGAGTTGGCGCCCCTAACACCCATGTTGTTCAAGGTTCAGCAATATCATAAATTAGATGAGTTTAGTTCACTTTTTAAAAGTTATCAGATTAGACATAAAAATAAATACAAAATTCAATTAAAGCTACTTATAGGACAGAAAAACTGAAAATAAAGGAAAAAAATATTTTGGCAAACACCAACACGAAAAAAGGTGATATACCATTTTAATCAGATAAAACAATATTATAGCAATATTAATAGATATGGAGAGATGATATACAGTAACAAAAGTAATAATAAACTTCAAAAAATACCTAAACTTTATACATATCTTACTCTTAAAATAAGGCAAAAAGTCATAGAATTACAAGAAAAACAATTTTTAACCAGTGTGCAGCCTCTTAATTTATTATGTTAGAAACTGACATATCAGAAAGCCAAAACATAAGGACATAGACTACATGATCCACAAAATTAGTAAATTTAATCTAATAGTTATATAGAGAACCCTCCAAGACCCACCCCAAAAGAATATAATTATTTTCAAGTACACATGAAATATTTTTAAAAATTGATCATGTATTAAGAGTTACAAAAGACACAAAAAGAAATTTCAAAGAACATATATTTAAGACCATATTCTGACCACAATATGTTGAACTAACCAATAAAAAATTTTTTAAATGTCTGTAAACTTAAAAATGGACTCCTAAACAAAATATTAAAATAAAATCACAACAGAAATTACAAAATAAAAAAATAACAATAAAAATACTATTCTATCAAAATGTGGTGTTCAACTCAAATTATAGCCTTAATGCATTTGTAACAAAACAGTAAGACTGAATATGCTTAACTAATACATTTTCTATCAAGAAACTGAAAAAAGACAACAGAATAAACTTAAAGGAAACAAGTGCATCAATAACTTTTTTCTATAGTTTATGATGCTCTTAAATGGCAGGGTTCTTTGCACCTAGGGAGGGATTGTCACTCCTAGTTACCTAATTCCTTGAGATAGCAACCAACTTACCTGAGAGTACATCTTTGATATACAACCAACCAATCCAGAGCCTATATTCTCCTTGCCCTAAATCACCCCCAGGGTCAGGTACTACACAACTAGAGACCACCCCTATCACCCAGAGCTATAAATTATTCAAACTATCAAATCCTAACCTTGTTCACCCTTGCTCAAAGGTAGGCCCTCCTCATCCATTCCTTTCCACAGAAACCACAATAAAGGCTCCAGCCCATGTTATCCCCTTGCTCCTTCTACCTCCTGACCAATCTTGGTGCTTCCCCACATGGCCCTGTGCGGCATGGCATGGCCTCCAGTGGCCTCCTGTTTCTAGAGAACTGTGAGTAAAAACTTTTTCCTTCATTACAGTCATTCCATGTCTGTGTGTCTTACTCTACACGATTAAAACAAATCCTGGGTACATTTTAAGACTATAGGGACGCTAAAGAGCAGAATAAAATGAAAAAATTGTAAAAAAATAAAATAAAATCCAAGGAGTTTCTCAAACATAAGAATCAAAAAGCAGAAACTATAAATAAATAAAGATTGAAAAATGAGTACATTAAATCCTCTTCTTTCCTTAAAATCAGTTGAGAAATTTAATTCACATACAAAATTCACCGATTTTAACTGTAGAGTTTAACGAGTCTTGACAAACGTATAAAATTGTACAACCTGCACCGCAATGAAGATCTAAAACATTTTCGCCACCCCCCAAAATTTCCCTTGTGCCCCTTTACAACTACTCCCTCATAGCAACTACTGATGGGCTCTCTAGTCACTATACAGTTTGTCTTTTCTTAAATTCCTTAAATATGGAATCACATAGTTGACCATATCAAAATTTAAAACTTCTGTTCGTCATATTCCCTATTATCAACAACATCTTTAACTTATTTTTAAAAATTATCATAAAATAAAAACACCTTACTAAAAAAGACAAAATTCTAGCAGGATCAGAATAACTACAGAATACAAAGAGCAGCTTATCAGACATAGAGCTGAACAGGTGGCAAGATGGGGTTGGAACTCTTGCATTCTGGGAAGAAGCAAAATTTACATTTACTCTAGAAATTGTCTTCCCTGACCAAAGTGTTCCTCAATGTTTACAGTACTTCTGACCCATACCACCATCCAGTGGTTTCAAAATGTTTGTTTTATCAAAATCGGATCTATCTTAACAACACCTTAAACCTAGGGACGCATTTAATGGTGAAGGAGAAATACAAGCATACATTGGAGATACTACAGGTTCAGTTCCAGACCACTGCAATAAAGCAAATATTGCAATAAAGTCATGATCTTTTTGCTGGTGGAGGGTCTTGCCTTCATTTTGTTTAAAAAAAAAAAAAATCAACATCTGTGAAGTATAATAAAATGCAGTATGCCTGTAGTAATAAGCATCTGACCATAGCATTCATTGCTCCCACCATAGATCACATTACTAGGAAGCTGCCAGATTAATAAAATAATGGAATGGCATATTAAAGGCTCAACTAAAAAGTCACCCTGTTGGTCTTCCAGGATGCAGTATACGTACTGAATCAATGGCTGTGGTGTTATATGCCTAATATCTAGAATGCACGAATCCAGAAACCAAGGGGTAAAACCTTTCACCACCAATCTCAGTTAAGTCACTTGTGGAATGTGGGGATGGGAAACCTTCTTCTGTATTAGAAGTCCTGAGGGTAATGCTTCTTCTGTATTAGAAGTCCTGAGGGTAATGCTTCCACCAGAGGACACAGTATGGGTTCCACTGAGCCTAAAAGCTACAACCACCACTTGGTCACTTTGGGCTCCTAATGCTGATAGACTAGCGGGCAAAGAAAGGAATAACTATACTAGCAGTGATAACTCGCTTTGATTATCATTAGGACTTGTTGTACAAAATGGGGGTAGGGAGCATTCTGTCTGAAACTCAGGGCTTTCCGTACTTGGTACTACAATAAACAAGAAATTGCAGCAAACATAACCCAAAAAACATAAGACAATGAAGGACTCACTCCTTCAAGGATGAAAGTCTAGAGGTCACAAGCAACCTAGAGCAGCTGAATTGCAGACCCAGCATAAGAGAATTCTGAAATGGGTATTTGTAAAAGAAGAAAATGATGAATACTAATTCCTGCCTTGACACCAGGTGCAGCAGCAGGTAGCATTAGAATACACCACTAATCCTTCTTAAATCTGTTGAAGAGATTACAGTGACTCAGTGATGGGTTAGAATCAAATTAGGGTCCAACCAGATCAGAGCAGAGCCAAAGGTAGATGTATGGTAATTTGTTACACAGCAGTAGGAAATTAATACAGCTAGAATCAAAGGAGAGGCCAGCAGCAAGAGGCAGACCGATTAGAAATCTGCTATACTTCATCTTCATGCTAATGGCCTCTCCTTTGATTCTAGCTGTATATCTTCCATACTACCATGTAACAAACTGCCAAAAATTTAGTGGCTCAAAACAAAACAAATATAACTGTAATTGGAAAATAATTTAATTTAAAAACCCACAAATATGTTATCTTAAAGTTCTGGAGATAAGGTCCAAACAGGTTCCAGGGAGCTAAAATCAAAGTCTGCATTCCTTCAGGAGGTTCTAGGGGAAACTCCATTCCCTGTCTAATTCCTCAACTCCTGGCCACATGATCATGACCTCTGCTTCCACTGCCACATCTTTTTCTTGGATTTATACTCCTGCCTCCCTTTATAAGGCTCCTTGTGATTGCATTGGGCTTATTGATAATCCAGGAAAATCTGCAAAGTCCCTTTTGCCATGCAAGGTAACATATTCACAGGTTTAGAGGACTAGGATGTAAACAACTTTGGTAGACCATTAATCTGCCTACCACACTAGTCATTAGTTTAGGCTAATGGTTCCAGGTAAGTTTTGATTTACTTTCCCCATAGTACTCACTGTGATTCATTTGCTTTCTGCCCAGGAACTGGGATCTCACTTGGCAGGCTCTTGTATGCAGCCCTAAAGTGGGGGAGGGAAGGAGAGAGAATTTATACCCCCCCAGGGCAACTGTCTACTGGTGGAGAACAAGAGCAGATGATAATGGTTTACTCCTGCCCATGCAGGAGTAGACAATTTGAGATGCATCTTGATCCTCATAAGTTCCCACTGGAGTGAGTCCTAGTTGTAATAGCAGTGAATAACTCGATAACACACTCTTCTACTGGCTTTCTTCATGTTTCATTCATCCTGGTCCCTTGCTCTTGTTCCCTAGGATCACCTGCCAAGTAAATTACCTACATACAACTCTTTGCTTTTAGACTATATTTTAGAGGAAAAGATGGGGAGAATATCTGCATAAAACAGTCAGGTAAAAGAAGTTTTAGAGACAGAAAAGGGAAACACAATGATTTAATAAAATGAAAGTTATATACATAGCAGGGTATCTATCTAGTCTTGACATTATTACTGTAGGATTTTAGGTCAAATCTCTTCTCTAAGTTTTATCAATTATAAAATGAATGGCTTGACTTCCATTATTATCCATAGCCCCTTTCCCCTGTAAACTTTTGATACAATAAACAGCATCATGGATTGGTGAAAGGGGACAGCAGAAAGACAGAGTAGTGAAATTATCACCAAAGAGGCCAGCCAAAAAAATTTGTTGAAATAAGACAGTCAGAAGGTAATGTGGTCTGGATTCAAAAACCCATGGAAAAATTAGACTCCTCAGACACTGCTGGTGGGATATGAAATGGGACGGCCACTTGTAGCAGTTCCTCAAAGGTTAAACACAGTTATCATGTAACTCAGAAATTCCATTCCCAGTTACATAACAAGAGAAATGAAAACATATATTCACATTAAAACATACAACGAAGTTAAACCCTTGCACTGCACCATATACAAAAATAATTCAAAATTCATCAAAAACCTAAATGTAACAGCTAAAACTATAAAACTCTTAGGGGGAAAAAAATAGGGCAAAAGCTTCATGACACTAGATTTGTCAAAATTTCTTAGATCTGGAACAGGCAACAAAAAAAAACCAGACTTCATCAAAATTGGACTTCATCGAAATTAAACTCTTTTGTCCATCAAAGTACACGATAAAATAAGAGATAATATATGCAAGCCTGTATCTAATAAGGGATTGATAACCAGATATATAAAGAATCTTTACAATCTAACACCACCAAAAACAAACGACCCAGTTAAAAATGGGCGCAGGACCTGAATAGACATTTTTCCAGTGAAGATACACACAAATAGCCAAGAAGCACAAGATTCTCAACTTCACTATCATTAGGAAAATGCAAATCAATACCCCAATGAGGTATCACATCACACTCAATTAGGATGGCTATTATTAAAAACAGAAAATAACAAGTACCGGTGAAGATGTAGAGAAAATAGACCTCTTGTACACTGCTGGTAGAAATGTAAAATTGGCTACTGTGGAAAACAGGTGGTTCCTCAAAAAATTAAAAACAGAATGACCATATGATTCAGCAATTCTACTTCTAAGTACATACCCAAAAGAAAGGAAAGCAAAGTCTTGAATGAGTATCTGCTCACCCAAATTCACAGGAGCATTATTCGTAACAGCCAAAAAGCAGAAGCAACCAAAGTGTCCATCGAAAGATGAATGGGTAAATAAAATGTGAAATATATAATCAATGGAATATTACCAGTCTTAAAAGGGAAATTCTGACATGTTACAACACAGGTAAACTGTGAAGATAGCATTCTAAGTGAAATAAGCCAATCACCAAAGGACATATATTCTATGATTTCATTTATATAAGGTTCATAGAGCAGTCAAATACATAGAGACAATGTAGAATGGTGGTTGCCAGGGTGTGGGTGGATGAGAGAATGAGAAGTTATTATTTAATGGATACAGAGTTTCAGTTGAGGAAGATGAAGAAGTTCTGGAAATAGATGGTGATGGCTGTACAACTATGTACTTAAAGCTATAGAACTATACATTTAAAAATGGTTAAAATGGTAAATTTTATATATATTTTACCACAATAAAAAAAATCATAGCAGTACTAATAATAGAGAAACAATCCAAATGTCCATAAACTATGTCCAATGAATAAAATGTGGCATATCTATAAAATGGAATATTACTCAGCAATAAAAAGGAATGAAGAAGAAACATGCTATAATATGGATGAACCTTAAAACATTATGTTAAGTGAAAGAAGCCATTCACAAAGGACCACATATTGTATGATTCCATTCATATGAAATGTCCAGAATGAGCAAATCTATAATGACCGAAAGTAGATTGATGGTTGCCTAGGGTGGGGGACAGGGGCTGTTACAGAGGGATGACTAACAAGAGTGAGGTTTCTTTCTAAAGTGTGGTGATGGTTCCAAAACTCTGTGAAAATACTAAAGCCATTAAATTATATATTTTATAGGAGAATTGCATGGTATGTGAGCTACATTTCAATAAAGCACTTTTTTTAAGCCAACAATACTCAATGACTGAATGGAATTATAAAATGAAACAAAGGGATGAATAAAAGATAACTACAAGAAAATAGAAACACCACAGTTTGAATTCCTGCTCTGCCATTTATTATGTGTGTGACATTGAGCAAGTTCTTAACCTCTCTGTGCTTTGGTAACATCTACCTACAGGGCTGTTGTAAAGATTAAACAAAATAATATGTAAAACAGTTAGTACAATACCTACTATCCAACTGTCCTTCCCTGCCTTATCCTCTTACTTAATACTAAAAATTCTACCATCAACTGTATGGAAATATAAATTTAATGATAGTGACATCTGAATTCATGATAAGGAAGTTATGTTTATTCCAGGTAGCAAATAACCTAAAAGTCAGCAATTATATACTCCTCACAAAGCAATTTTTGACTGCTAATTCACTGCAAGTTGAAACCCAAGGCAACTTCAGATAGCTCTTTTCACCAATTTTCTCTCAACTTTTTCTCCTCCCTTTCATTTTTAAACACGTCTTTCCTTACCTATCTGCCTTTTTACCTTATCCTTTATTCCAAACTGTTTTGTTTAATCTTTTAGACTGTTGTTGATTATGAGAAAGGCAACAATAATTTATTTTCCAATATAACACATGTTAAGATTTAAAAAGTCGATCATGCAAACTATGGGACAGTTTCAAACTCTGCCCAGCTAACCCACCAAAGTGTCCTAAACAAAAAGATGAACACATTTTAAAAAGATGAGAATGATAAGGAATGTAAGAAAGCTCCTGCCTTCCCTAGTGTTGGCGGTTCTCTTGCTTGTTTATCTGGAAGCAGAATCCTGTGGCATCCACAAAGAGAAACTGGAATTTCTCCATACTATCCATAACCAAGTTCCACTACCAAAAAAAGTCAGATGTTCTAAGAAGTTGGTATTGGTCCAATCTGACATATTAAACTATACTTCCATATTTAAATATACCCTCATTTCATGTCAATGTTAAATAAGAATTTACTTTCAAACTATTTTAAAGGACAATGCCTATAATGCAGGGGCACCTGCATTATAAATGCTTCCGGAATAAGATTCAGTAAAAGGATGTGGTTAAGAAGCATATACAAATGAACTGCCATTGTACTGCTATGATTATGTATACTTTCAGATCATAAAATTCCTACTAAAAACATTTCAAAATAAATTCATAAATATTACCTCTATATAGTTTTTAGTACAATTCTAACTTACTATAACATTTGAAAGGAATGTTATCTCTAAAGAAAAGTTGCTGCAACAAGCCCAGAAGCCTTTTCTCCCTCTACAAACTCTTTAATGTCTAACTTAATGACTTCTTGATGCCTAACTATATTATCTCATTATATTTCACTTCAGAAATGTTTACTGGACACTTAGTGCAGAGCAAGTATGCCAAGTGCATTTAGTACAATGTTAATAATCCCCACAGCAACTTTACGAAGCAGATATTAATAGCACCATTTTATAAACTTCATAAAAGGTAACATTTCAGAACCTTCAAATGCATATCACAAGGAATAGCTACACTAGAGGTAGCCAATCTAACCATCCCTCTTTCCTTAAACTCTTTGCTGGTTTCCTTAACCCTATATGAAGCTGGTTCTCCTTCCTCGCTCTCCATATACTCCTGGTTTCCATTTCTGGCTCCTCTTTTATTTCCCCTTAAGCCATTTGCTCTTCTCAATATATATCTCTCTCAAAAGATCATCCACTTGAATGACTTCATTTTATCAACTCTGGCCAGATGACTATCAAATCTATAATTCCAATTGTGTTCCAATTGTGTTATCTAATCCCTAATCCAAGCTACCATTCCTCAACATTTCTACTTGAATGTCCTACACATCAATCCCAATTTGGTCATTATCTCTAAAAAGCCAATCATCCTCTTTACTAATCTCTTTACTAATCTGTTAATTACAAATCACTATCATCCTATTTACCCAGACTCTCCCTTTAAGTCACACAGCAATTTGTTTTTTCCTCTGAAAAATGTCTTGTTCATTTTCTTCTGTTCCGTTGCCACTGCCACCACTAAAACCCAAACCCTCGGCAATTCACATAAATTATCATAAGAGCTCTTGGTTATAATTCAATCCAGTGTCTCCACTTTAGTCTGTTCTATATCAGACATTCATTCGTACAGCAAATTTACTGAAAGACTAATGGGTGCAACCAGGGATATAACTGTGAGAAAGATATATCTTTTTAACAAAGGACACAGGCAAAGCAAACAAAAATTTTCTCAAATAAAATTACAGACTGTGATAAATGCTGTGATAGATATAAACACAGTGCTATCATAAACGACAGAGAATAGGAGGGCTACTTTAGTTAGGGATTCTAGTTAGAGATGGATTTTAGGCTGACACTAAGATGAAAAGGAGGCAGTCGTGTAAATATTTAAAGCAGAGTGCTCCAAGAAAAGGAAAATACAAAACACATAAGTTCTAGGAAGGGAAAAGCTTGGCATGTTATGGGATATGATCTAGTCTAATGTGGCTTGAGAACACTAAGGGGGAAA